GTAACTCATTAAATATCGAAATTAGAAGAAGAGTACACTATTTTTAATTATACAAAATGCGTTTTTCTAAGGTACATAAACTTTTCGCATTGACTGTATAGCCAATACATCCTTAGGGAACGAGAATTGTTTTGAACCGTTTGTGATTTGATTAGAACTCGCAGGGGGAATAAGCACCTTTAATTGGAACGTTAAGTTCGCCGAAGGGTCTCGGTAATTGCGTTTACCTTGACCTTCTTCACCTACTCTGGCATTAAATAATTATAGTTCACGTGGTCGTCAAGTAAGAAATTGTACAATCCAATTAATTAAATCTCTCGTCTCTCTCGTAATAATTAACGAACACCTGGGTACCTTCAACCGATCACTTTGATCGTTTTGATTCTTGGTTTCTCAAGGATTTATCAAATCGAAGGTAAAACTCAGTCTAATGAGAACGCTCGATGGCTAGACTGTTTTAACCTTTAGAGGCTAGGCTGAAGATCAGCGTGCCGTGAAATGCATGGTCAGTATCACATCGTTAAACACGGCTTTATGAAAATAAGAGGCCTAACGCGAAACTAATAGCTGAAACGGTATCAACTTTTTCCCATAACTCACCCCGCAGGCCATCAATAATAAAAGCCAGTGGAATTTTGTCATACGACGGTTTCATGCAGAAATTGTTCCCTCATCGATCTGAAACTAACGATCGAAAAAATTGGTGGTTCTAGACAGTAACGTTGCTTCTTTTGTGCGGCGTCTGCGGTGCTTTGGCCGGACGTCGTTACCTGGCGATTCCCGTCGACGGGATCGACGTGATCGAGCTGAGTCCAGTGGTATCAGCCAGCAGGATCACACGGCAGACCGAGGCTTACGTACCAGTGCCAGTTCCTAGTGAAGAGCTCCAAGCCCGTCCCGAGAGGTCCGCCCATATCCTGGATTACGTGGACTTTGGCGGACAAACAGGATCCAACGGGGCCTTCAGCTGGTTCGCGGATTACCCAGCTCACCACTGATAAACGTTCTGCTCTCCATTTCAATTATTCATCTTACCTCAGAACGTTTCACAGAAAGTTACAAGACTTATTAGATAATTTAGCAGGGAATTACAATTACAATTAACTTTTACAAAAAGGAAAATAATGTCCACGATGAGGATAGGTAGTGGGAGCTCTGTCCGGCTTCTGTTTCTAAACACCTGAAGGATCCATCTTTCAGCTTTCACAGCCTATTTAGAGTAATAATAGTTTTTATTTTCCGGTATATGCTCATACCTATCGTTACAATACAATAAATAGTGAGAGAACGACAGAATGTGTCTCTTTATCTGTTACGTTAATATCTGTAGTGTGTCCATGATTTTTCTTTAGGTACAACGATAACAATCTCGTCGAGGCGAGCATCATTCGATTTAACGAGCCGACGAATTTCACGTATCCACTTAAGTAGCTACGTAAACGCGGCACATCCCAGCAAATCGTTGATAAACGATAGGATCGATCGTCACGCTCGGTTATTATCCTCGTCACGCTCTTTCTTTACCTGCTCTCGATCTTCGCCTCGCTCTTTTCACGCTCGTTCGACAAATTCGACAAACACGCAAACCGTGCCTCTCTTTAGGAAAAACGTCTCAGGAACTTAGGAGCACCGCAAGAATTATAGATTAGTCTCTTAAAGCAGATTCTTTGGAATTTCTCTTCAACGATCTGTACAATTCGCTAGTCGATAGAAAAATTTCGGACCGCAGAGTTTTTCTGCAAAAATTATGAAACGGTTTTTAAATAAATCCTAACCTCGATAAAAATCCGCGGTCCTTTCAACGTAGCTAATATATAATTCGTCAAACTCTGGAAAGTTTTATTCATAAACTTTATGGACTCACGTTCAACTTTATATGAAAAGTAGGAAAAACGTTTCCTGATTCATTATAACAAACGTACCTTATTTCTTATTCCTCTTTAAAGGTTATATGGGGCTGTCCAGCGTGAAGAGGATAATAAATATTTAATCGAGTCGAATCAAACGTTTCATACACTGCCCAACGGCGTCACATCGAAACACTTAAACGTAAATTACGGTAATTAACACCGATCAACGTTGCGCTCTGTCATCTTCTCGCTTCGATTCACACTCCTTACGCAATGCACTCGAAACAGTGAACCAGGTTTCTCAGAGAACCGGCATTTACCGAGAGAACTTCGTTCGAGATCAATCGAATTCTATTTCAATGTTCAAATGATGTAAAAACTCCGAGAACTTAATTTTTCACACGATTAGAAGTTTTGCTTGATAAAAGTATCTCGAATGTACTTAAAACGTCATATTTAAATGGCAGTAGACTCGCACGTGTTCGAAAACCGCGGGAACGAAAGAAACTTTTACAAAAATCAGCGAATTCGTTTTCTCGATGAAAAAACTTCTCGCGTAGTTTTCCGGGATATTACGTACGAGTAGATGGTATCGTCTCGGAAATACAACGTAACTAAACTTATCCGCAGTCACGCGAGAGAGGAGGATTAGCGTCGGCGAAGTTGCCGGACGTTAGAACCGTGTGCCCCGTGGCAGGTGTTTCGCGAGAAGATTGAGCGGAATTAATTGCACCGGTTTTTACCTCGTGATAATAACGCGGATGATAACGCTACCGCCTGAACTCGGTTCGTTCCTGGCTTCAAGGGGCTGTACCAGTGCGACACTTTTAAAGCATATATATTATCCCGAGAACTTAATTTTTGACATGTTTACGATTTTTAAATTCACTCTGTTTTAATATGAAGCGTGATTGGTTAGAAATCTAAAATGGCCAACGAATGCAAGCGTCCGTGATTAGTTGTTCAAATGGATGCTCGCATTTCATAATTTTTATTTTATACAATTCTACATGCAAGTACGTCCCTAAAGTTTAGAAACATTCTATAGAATACTTTTTTTCAACGAAATTTCCAAAGCACCGATATAACCTCTTAAGGAGCGTTCGAAATGAAGTTGTCCTCTCTACGGTAAATGCGGTTCTGTTGAGTAACTGCGGACTTTACCTGGGAATCGAGACGCTAATGACAGATGTGTCCGTCCTTGATTCACGCTAGCATTATTACCTCGGAATTATGACGATCGACGGTGTACAGTCTCAACAGTTGGTCTATGAATATGCAACGATAGAAAAATAACTTTTATATCCTCCGGCTGGCTTTGTCCCTCTAACGTCGCAAGCAAGCGGGATTGGAAAATCGAATAGAAAAACTGGTAGAAGAAAAGAACGTTCGCGCCGCGAACCTCTGTCCCTCCTTTTAAAAAATTATTTGGCATAAGCGATAGAGACGAACGTACGAAAAACTCATACAAAATCCTATTGACAGTCACTCCGTTTCAACTACGGATCGTCGAGAAACGTTTCTAGCACCCATCGGTCAATGAAAATTGTCTGAAGAACGAATGGTTGCGAAGAATATTCGGAGAACCCGTCACTCGATTCTTAAACACTTTTAACTTTACCCTTAAGACGAAGACTCGATTAAAACTCTAACAACTAGAATATCCCTTTAGTTAATGTTAATGTGATTTCCCATAGAACGTATGCCGTTTACACGTAGCACAGAGATACAGAACACGGACACGGACACGCGTTTAAATATATAATAATATTCCTCCGTAGGATGCACAGCAATTAAGATATACACAGCTCGAATTGTACAGTGTCGCGTATAGCCTCTTAAATATTTCACAACTCCTTGCTCCTCCTCCTGTCTTCCACATCCCCCTTCATTTCATTCTTTAAAATATACATACATATATATATATATAGATATATACAGGGTTTCTCAAAACTAGTGTAAGATATTGAAATCACGTGAGGAACCTCGCATTTCAATATCTTACACTAGTTTTCGGACAGCCTGTATATTATGCAGAATTTTTCTTAGCTCAGGAATCCACGCGGTATCCTTGAACCGATCTCGAATATACATATACGCTGACAGTTTTGATTATCACCACCGAGGCGTTATCACTTTGCGTGTTCCGAGTCGCAGCGAACAATCGATATTGTCACTCCGGCAACGCGTCGTTCACGGTGTCGTGCTGCTCCTGTTCTAACTCTGATGTTACAAGGTCGGAACAAGAAACCGGAGTATCTATTTTAATTATAAAAAGCATCGGATGTTAATCCGAGTTTAATGAAATAATTATTCCCAATGAGAAAATCAAGTATTATTCTAAAAGTAGTTAAGAATCACTTGCGTATCGATCGGATGCAGAAGGTGAAGTGCAAGTTATTCCATCGAACGACCTGGGTTCGATAAGAAACACCCACACCGTGAAAAGTATATCAGTTTTGTGAAAAAGTTAGAAAAATAGAGTATACATCCTTGTATAAAATCTAACTTCCCGAATACATTATCCCACGCGTTATAAATAGACTGTAGAGACTTTAACGAGGGAGCTCCGATACGCAAATAGAGGGAATAAGAAGGACGTTTAAAAATCCGCAGTGAACAAATGAAAATATTCATGAATGACAATAGCGATCGTTCGCGGCGACTGGAGAGCAACGGTGACGCTCGTCCTCTTCTCCCTTCGTGGGTATTCAACCCCGTTTTGTGCACTCCTTCTTCCTCCCATTCGCTTACAGGTACAAACGAGTTTGCACGATAATAATACTGATTTACCGATTTTCTCCGACAGAAATCGCTTAGATAATCCTAAGGTACGCTGGTTCTATTCACATCGATAAACGCACATCCAATTATTCTTTGCAAATCGCCAATACAGATGAGAATTAATTCTGTAGATAGACACGAATTCGTTTTTTAATTGCAAAGAACGCTGCGAGTATCATGGGAACTTCTGCACTCTCAGAATTGCTCCCTCCATCCTACTTTAATACTCACGGTGAAAATAAGTATCACGTACCTGTTCGCGGTGGACCACCTCGTCTCACCGGTTTTTTCACATCGTGTACTGAGACAACAGAATTCGGGGAGTCGCCAGGTTGCTCGGCGGCTCGGGTCAAGTGGTGCACCAAGCCAGTATCACTTTCTTGAACGGCACGAAGATCGCTCGGTCCGGCTCGCTTCAAAACAGATACAACATCGTTTCAAAACAGATACAAGCCCTGATAGAACGTTTTTAATAGTTCGTAGAGAACGCATTCTTGGTAATGATCGAACTGCACCTTTAAGAGTGCACGTAAGTAGTAAGGGTACAGGGAAGGGGAGTTAATCGCGAGGAATAGCGTGTACCATTACGGCGAGGCGTAACAACTGTTGTTGAGAGGATGAAAAAGTATCGACGACCGGTTAAAGATCAATGGTGCACGACTCTCTTTCCCAGAAGCAACCAACAAAAACGTTGCCCGTTGCACGAGCCAACAAGTAATTTGCATTTTCCCTGTACCTTTGAGTGCAGTTCGATCTTTACTTCGTAAATTTCGAACAAGTCACGCACATAATGTGTACACCGCAGGTCTTTTATGCATTCGTGCATTAAAATCGGGGGGGCTAAAATGAATATGGAGCCCCCTGGCTAAAATGTTTGATGAAAAATCCGTTAAAAAGATAGTGGCATTCGTATAACGTTTTAAATGAAAATGTTTAGAATGAAAAGTACCTACATAAGAGTTTATCAGCAGGGATTCCTCTGGGGCTTATCAACGTCGAAAGTTACGAGAGGGATTTCCTTTCGGCCGTTTAATTTAGGAGGAACGCGTACGTAGGCGAAGATCAAAATCAAACGTGCACTTTCAGGGACGTCACGCGAGCATCTCGAACGAAACTTGGAACGATTTTCCAAGGCTCTAATCGTTTCTCACGATAGGGAATGCGACGAACGTAGATGCAGCTGACGGTGTAAGTAAAAACGTGAGAATTAACTCGATTAGCCGATAGTTCGATTTAATCCAATGCGAATCGCGAATGTATATAACCTACCTGTCTGTGTCAATGACACTCGTGAATATATGCAACAAGGTTACGTTCACATTCACACTCATTGAGCTGTTTTATACAACTCTTTCACACTTTGCACTCACACACAAATACATAAACAGATTACAAAGTGAAATAAACGAACGAATGTGTTTGTAGATACAATGAATAAATCTATTACCTGTCCATTGTATGCGCCTCGTATCTCTTAAGGTTACGCAACGGGGCTCCTTTTACGTCGGGGAACGATAGTTGTTAAAAGTTATCGAACACGGGGCGAAGTTCGCATAATTCCACGGGGATAGAGTACAAAGCCCGCGCTCACCGTGCCGGTGCATGCTCGAGTGAAACACGAGGGAGTCGGTTTATCGCGAACGGAATTGCTTCTGTCACGCAGCTCGTTCGGGTCTATCACCTCGAAAACGCGATGCAATTACGAAATTAAATACGATTTTCAAAAGGCTGATCGCGATTCGTCTCGGTACACACCGCGGCACACTCCGTTTCACTGCTACCGTCGCTTAACTGCGACGCGGACGATGGTGGCCATGACAGTAGAAATTCGACCAATCGGAATCGAATATCGAAAATACGAATTTTTCGAAAATTATTTCCACTATTTTATATGCAATTATTTTATTGAACTCGATATTCGTGTCGATGTTTCTACGGCCGTAATAACTCGGAGCGACAATGCAAACTGCTAACTGCAAAAACGCGATGCAATTACGAAATTAAAGACGATCTTTTATGCATTCGTGCATTAAAATCGGGGGGGCTAAAATGAATATGGAGCCCCCTGGCTAAAATGTTTGATGAAAAATCCGTTAAAAAGATAGTGGCATTCGTATAACGTTTTAAATGAAAATGTTTAGAATGAAAAGTACCTACATAAGAGTTTATCAGCAGGGATTCCTCTGGGGCTTATCAACGTCGAAAGTTACGAGAGGGATTTCCTTTCGGCCGTTTAATTTAGGAGGAACGCGTACGTAGGCGAAGATCAAAATCAAACGTGCACTTTCAGGGACGTCACGCGAGCATCTCGAACGAAACTTGGAACGATTTTCCAAGGCTCTAATCGTTTCTCACGATAGGGAATGCGACGAACGTAGATGCAGCTGACGGTGTAAGTAAAAACGTGAGAATTAACTCGATTAGCCGATAGTTCGATTTAATCCAATGCGAATCGCGAATGTATATAACCTACCTGTCTGTGTCAATGACACTCGTGAATATATGCAACAAGGTTACGTTCACATTCACACTCATTGAGCTGTTTTATACAACTCTTTCACACTTTGCACTCACACACAAATACATAAACAGATTACAAAGTGAAATAAACGAACGAATGTGTTTGTAGATACAATGAATAAATCTATTACCTGTCCATTGTATGCGCCTCGTATCTCTTAAGGTTACGCAACGGGGCTCCTTTTACGTCGGGGAACGATAGTTGTTAAAAGTTATCGAACACGGGGCGAAGTTCGCATAATTCCACGGGGATAGAGTACAAAGCCCGCGCTCACCGTGCCGGTGCATGCTCGAGTGAAACACGAGGGAGTCGGTTTATCGCGAACGGAATTGCTTCTGTCACGCAGCTCGTTCGGGTCTATCACCTCGAAAACGCGATGCAATTACGAAATTAAATACGATTTTCAAAAGGCTGATCGCGATTCGTCTCGGTACACACCGCGGCACACTCCGTTTCACTGCTACCGTCGCTTAACTGCGACGCGGACGATGGTGGCCATGACAGTAGAAATTCGACCAATCGGAATCGAATATCGAAAATACGAATTTTTCGAAAATTATTTCCACTATTTTATATGCAATTATTTTATTGAACTCGATATTCGTGTCGATGTTTCTACGGCCGTAATAACTCGGAGCGACAATGCAAACTGCTAACTGCAAAAACGCGATGCAATTACGAAATTAAAGACGATTTTCAAAAGCCTGATTCGTCTCGGTACACTCTGTTTCACTGCTAATGTCGCTTAACTGCGACGACGGTGGCCATGACAGTAGAAATTCGACCAATCGGAATCGAATATCGAAAATACGAATTTTTCAAAAATTATTTCCATTATTTTATATGCAATTATTTTGTTAATTTCGATATTCGTGTCACGTTGACGATGTTTCTACTGCGATAAATAGCTCGGAGCGACAGTTGGCATTGTGTTAATGGAAACTGCTAACTGCGAAAACGCGAGCGACGCTCGTTCGATAGAAGACCTCGTTATTGTTCCACCGAGGCTCGTTTCACAGAAATCCGACACACGAGACACGAACTAAATGTACAATTTAACAATAAAATCGCAGAATTACCCGAAACATATTTTTAATTATTTTAATAAACCCTGCCTTCCCTTTTTGCAGATTTAATACGAATTTATGCAATTATTTTTCTTATACTAAACAAAATACGTAATAAAAAAAAAGAGTTGAGACTCACCAGTCGAAGAATCTCCTGCCATGGAAAGTGCCATCGGACGAACCGTTCAAGTAGGGCAATTCCACACCAACGTGGGTCTCCTCGCGACCCGGCACAGGTCCCACGTATCTGACTCGACCTTGGAGAACTTTACCCTCCGGCGAAATTACCTTCACGAGGTGATCCAGCTTGAGATCCCTTGGTATCTGTCGACATGGAAACATCGGACCATCTCTTATTAATCAAAAGAGCACCCAGAACTGAATTGATCGCACGTTTCAATACTTAAATAATGAAGCACCGATCGATCTAGCTTTCATATTGAGCGATAATTACCTTTGGCAGGTAGGGTCTGGCGTCCTGAGGTGGATGCCAGTCGCGGATGAGGTCAGGTTCTGAATATCTCCGCGTACGTCTCCGCCTGGCCGTCTGTCTGTTCCAATAATCGCTACTGGACATCGTCAGCATGGAGTCGATGCTGCGTCGCAGGTAATCCTCCGCCTCGTCGATCAACGACTCCGTCGAATCGCCACTGTTGTCCCCGGCTACCAAATCCGAGCGCAGGTTCGGCAGACTGCCTCGGGTCATCGGGCATTCTGCGATCATAAAGAAAAACATTTCCTACACAAAACTTGTCCGACTTGTCGTTTAAACTGTGTTCAAATAACATAGATTATGATCAAGTTACTCGTTCTTGTAACACGAATCCTTCACAGAATGGACAGTTAATAGGCTTTAGTTAATAAAAGAACGTACCCTGGAAAGTGACTTTCGAGCGCGTTCGCTTCGGGACGTTCCTGGAGGCCTTCGAAGGCGCGGTAGGAGGGTTTACATGAGTAGGGGAGGATGGCATTGAAGACCAGGTGGGTCTCGGGGTAGACGTGGCCACTGGAACTCGCCAGGTGTCGAACGACGTCGCAGTTGCTCTCCAGGAGTGCCTGCGCGACGGGCCGCCCATGACCTCGAGACCTGGAGACGGTATCGAGGACAAGGAGCCGCGATATCTGGAGGAATAGAAATCGGTGGATAATCGACAATCGCAGGGACTCGGCAGTCCCGTCCCGGGGTTGCAACGTGGCCATAATCCACCTGGAGAGCCCAGAGACTCGCGTCGATGAACGTCCGGCGTACGAAGACCGCAGCCGCGAGAACTGAAACAAGTCTGAACGAAAAAAACCAGAAAAATTTTAATACAGAATTAAATTAAAAGCGATTAAAAGAACTGTGAACAATTCTACGTGTCTATCAACGAAGTAAACATTGAAGCGAATTAGTCATCCGAGTTAACGACGGAATTGCATTCGACGCTGGAGAATCGCGTTAGCTTCATTCGTTCGACCTTCTCCCACGCGCAGTCTAAACCATTTCCGTATACACGCCCACGTGAACGGCGAACTACGCGTTTCAGAAATACTCTATCACGTTGATTAACGTACTCTAATTTACAATGTCGCAAACTTGAATTGACTAATTAATTGTTTCTCAAGTTTCCAAGAACAGAGCAACTCTCTAGTCGTCTATCTTATTTACCTTTACAATAAATAAGAAATTGTTAAGGAGATCCTAATTTGAATTGAGGATCTACCTGTGAATGCGGATCGTGGCAGAGATGATCGGCGCTTCTGGACAGTTCCGGGACCATGCTGGTAAAACTGATGTCCGACAGCATTACTCTCCTCGCCTCGCGGGTTTTGTCCGACAGCCGAAGCCTGCCAGGGACTCCGGTCGGCAGAGCGAATTTACTGGGCAACGTGGTGAACGTATGAGCCACTTTATGCGCGAGGTAGCTCTCCGAGCGCCAGTGCGCCGGAAGTGCAGAAATGTCGGTCTGCACTCCAGACTCTCGCCTAGCACCGGTGATCCTGTCCATCACCGGCCTCAAAGGCGCCGCGCTCTTTCGCCGACTGCCCACCAAAGCCTCGCGGTGAATGATAGGTCTGTAAGGCAGACATCGTCGATTCATTGAACAATTTAATCGAGGTGCGAATTCGCTGCCGTGAACGCCATTAGACCGCCAATAATGGCTTCTGATCTAATTTTCAGCCCCGGTAATTGTATCAGAATCGAAGCCAATTTCTCACGCTGCGACATTTCGCTTCCGGCGTACAGAAAATACGAGACAAATTGTTTAAAAATTGATGACTGTTTTTAATCAAACCTCGTGCGTACTTTTCAGTGAAAAAAGTCGAGCAGCTAGAAGTTAATTAAACTACTTCCGAGTATATATTGGCGTGAGAGCCTTCTTGTAATTGTCTGACCATCGACTCTGTTCTTTTCACCTACGAGGAAACGTTTATCGCAGCTTTAAATGCTTTCTTAAATAACGTCGAGGGATCGAAGTTACCTGTAGGTGGAGGGTGGGGCGGCGAGAGTGTTCCTCCTGACGGCCTGCCTGATGGTGTTTGGATCTGGTTCCTCGACGACGCCACATTTACTGATGTCTGTTTCAACGAGGACCGAGCACTGGGACCACATTTTGTTCAACCTGGTGTTGGAGCTCTCGTCGAATCTGTCGACGCTCTCCTCGCGGTCGATGCTCGAGCTCTGAGAGGAAGCGGCCTCCTCGACGGAGCTGGTCTTCTCACCGTTGCAGACCAACGGTTCGCCCTCTGGAGACTTGGTGTATTTCAACTGCATCTGACCGGCGGGCGTGGCAGGCTGTTGCCAGGACTCGGTTTCTGTTATGGAGACGAGGTCTTCCTGGAGGCCGAGGTCGCGACACGTTTCGTCCGTCGTGAATATCAACTCGATGTCGTCGAGCTCTTCAGAATCGTTCTCGGACTGATCGTTTGGTTTCGATTGCTCAATCTGGTTCTTCCGCTGCTGCTGTTGCAGCTGGGCGTCCGGGTTGTCGCTGAACACCGAGTTGTCACCGTCGGATTTCAAGCTGAGGTCCTCGAAGTCCTTCTCTGGTACTTCTAAATGATCTAACTTTGCCTCCTCCTCTTCAGTATCCTTCGCCTTGTCGTCCCTGGACTCCGGTTTAACCGCCTGACCTTCCTTCTTACTTTCGGAATCGGGACTCTTGGGTTCCTCCGCGTTCTCCGCGTCGACTTTATCCTTGGACGCGTCCATGAGTGTGGCTGCTTCCTCTGACAGACTGATACCGTTCCCAGGGTGAGAACGACGCGTACATGCACGCTACACGTGGTTATTAATAGACGCATCGAGACACGCTCCTTTTAATTAACGCTAAACGTCACGGAGCTTTTCCGTTTACCGTCCAACCGACGAATTAACCCTTTGGCGTGACGATCTTCCAATCACGCACAAACAAAACATCACCACTGAACTCGTGAATGGAGATTTGAAAACGTGAGAGAAATAGAGCGTGGGTAAAAGCGTGAAAGTAAAAACGTTAAACGTCGTGTTAATTGGTGAGGGAGACTCACTGTTTGACGTCTTCTACTGCGAAAAGGCCGGCCTCGGGCGGCGGGCTGGTTGCAGCATCACTAGAAAACTCACTGTTCCTGCTTAGGATCCTTCGCCTAAGGACGTGATTCTCAAGGGCGAGCCTCTCGACGACGTCCACGTAACTGGAACCAGAAAACTCACCGACGGTCTCCTTAAGACGGCGCAGCTCCTCGCGCGAGGAATCCAGCGCGGACCGCAACGATATCACAGTCTGATTAACAAAAAAGAAAAAAAAGAAAACATCATTAATTAAAGAAATTGTACTCTCGATCATGTTTCAAGCAGTAATTGTTTTAATTTTCAGAATTTTCTACCGTTTTATTATTAAGAAAAATGAATGAGAATATTAGAAATTTAACATGCACTCTTATGGAGGCCAAACTTTACTATAAAAAATAAGTACTTTTTAAATGTACAAATACAAAATAAATGTTATCATCTGATAAATTAACATCTCTTAAATCGTTTAACGAAAGATTCACGAAATTGACCGTTTATTTCTGTTCGAAAATTATTAATAAAAACGTAATAAACAGTTTTCGTGTCAGCTCATCGTTAAAACTTGGCAACATCGCTTACTAGTAAAGTGGTGTAAGTTGGGCGGTAGGTTTGAACTATCGAATCTTAGATAATGATACTGTGATACGTAATGATTAGTATAGCAANCACGTATGTTATTAAAAAACCTACTAAAACTAAAACCCTAACAAACGTGCTTAACTTCGTTCGTTTCTTTAGAAAGTTTTGCAAATTTTAAAATCGCGGAGGTTCTATTCAAGGTCAATGGATCAAAAGAGGATGAAATCGATGCCAGGGTGTACAGTCACCCTTTTGTCAACCGTGTCATCTGATCAATCGCACTCAAGGAAATTAGCCGAGGTTACGTTTACACAATTAACGTTATCAATTATATCGATAATCGAGTAATTACGAGCGAGCATCGCCCGGTTCTGTTTACTCGGGAACCAAACAAACTTAAGAGAATTGGCGATTTGATTCAGTGAATTAATGCGAAATTATTTAAGGAAAGATCGACTGACCTGATGTAAAGCTCTCACGACGTCGAGTCCTGGGATTCCCGGGGATGGCAGGGTAAGCTGCAGCCCCTGGTGATGATGAGACTGGCTGCCAGCTTCAGTTTCCATGCCTCCTCCTCCCCGGCCGATATTTTTAACGAGATCTCGCCACCGCCACAGGTCATACCGTCTTTTTCTTATTTCACCACTTTAGCCACGATTCTATCGATTATCAATCGACCACACTCGACAGGCGACGGATCTTTAACGACAAAATTCATTACACTATTACACGAGAACGTTGTACAATAAGAGAATTTCTAAACAAATTCTACTACGTCTCATGTATTGCTTAACTTCGTTCGTTTCTTTAGAAAGTTTTGCAAATTTTAAAATCGCGGAGGTTCTATTCAAGGTCAATGGATCAAAAGAGGATGAAATCGATGCCAGGGTGTACAGTCACCCTTTTGTCAACCGTGTCATCTGATCAATCGCACTCAAGGAAATTAGCCGAGGTTACGTTTACACAATTAACGTTATCAATTATATCGATAATCGAGTAATTACGAGCGAGCATCGCCCGGTTCTGTTTACTCGGGAACCAAACAAACTTAAGAGAATTGGCGATTTGATTCAGTGAATTAATGCGAAATTATTTAAGGAAAGATCGACTGACCTGATGTAAAGCTCTCACGACGTCGAGTCCTGGGATTCCCGGGGATGGCAGGGTAAGCTGCAGCCCCTGGTGATGATGAGACTGGCTGCCAGCTTCAGTTTCCATGCCTCCTCCTCCCCGGCCGATATTTTTAACGAGATCTCGCCACCGCCACAGGTCATACCGTCTTTTTCTTATTTCACCACTTTAGCCACGATTCTATCGATTATCAATCGACCACACTCGACAGGCGACGGATCTTTAACGACAAAATTCATTACACTATTACACGAGAACGTTGTACAATAAGAGAATTTCTAAACAAATTCTACTACGTCTCATGTACGAGAGTACCGAATACGTATAAAAAAGTGTTACATCGTCACGATCTGCGTGAAGCTAGTCGATACGATAAACAATCCCCGAGACAATTCGATCGATTCACCATGAGAGACCATTAGAGAAACGATTGTCAATTGAAATTGTTTCGACGCCGCGGTAACTGCGCGGAAAATACCATACGGATTGATTCACTTATCCGCACGCACTTCATCGCCCTTCGTTGAGAATCTACTGGCGTTTACGGCGATGCTTGAACAGAGTTTTCCGATAACCAGTCATCGTTAGAACCGCTAGACGATGCCAATCGATACGGGATAACCGGAAGCTTTATAGATAACACTTCAACCATTTAATCTTCGTCGCCCGTTTCAAATCTATCCTACGCGTTACATTTCCACAGCACTGATTACGATTTAATTCCAAGCCGTTGGACGCGATCCACAATGCAAGCGACGCGAACGAAATCCACGCGAAATTTGTACTCGTGTCGCGACTCGAATCAATTTCAAAAATAATTTTTATCTACAAACGACGCGGCGGCTGTAATTCACGTACGAATGTCAACAATATAGCTCGAGCTGTCACTTGCTCTTTAATGCAGACGACGGAGTAGAAATATACATGCACGTTCCCAGGCTGGCCAACCGTATCGCTCAAGCGCAAGGTGCATCTTCACTAGACACGTCAATGAGAACTCCGAAAAAACATGCATTTATGATTTTAGGATAAAAATTCATTACCGAACATGCGATTTAGATAAGAATTCTTCGAAAACGAAGTATTCTTACTATTTCGTTGACGAGAGACGAAGACCGCATTGGAGGTTAATCGAAACTCCATTTTTAACTCGCGATTCGAACTGCCACGTGCGAATTGAATAAACAATTGTAAACAATTCAACTGCACTGAACGATCAATTTTATCGGGAGATCGTTCGACACAGAATGAAATGGCAACACCGCGGAAGTCCAGCTTCGATATAGTACAACCTAACCTCGCAGACTTTCTGTCTCTGTCGAACTCTCGGTTTTTCATATTCTGTACTTCAAACGTTTACCCTCGAAGCTATTATCAGTGAAAATAAGACTCGCGATTCCTAAACAGTGGTGCCAAGTCTCTCAGCATGGCTAGTATTTAAACTGTATTAAATTCGGCCGTGCCGGTAGTTGACATGCATTATAGGAAGCGATCTATATTCTATAGCTCTATCGGATTATACACGAGCGTACTATTATTCGTGACGTTGTCATTGCACAGCGAATAATAACAGTTTAAAAAAAAGATTAAGCAGCAAAAAATGCAGAGATACTCTGTCTGAGAAGAAGCAAAGATATTACGTGATGTGCTTGACGAAATTCTAATTGAAAGTCCCGAGAGCATTAACAATGGATCAAACAAATACACGAAGCACTTTGTTTGTGATTTTTCTACACTTATCGGTGCTAAACTGTGCTCACTTGACGAGCGTTTACTTAAACGACGCGTCCACCAACACTGGTGACAATATGCCAAAAATTAGCTGGTTATTTAGCGACTCTGTTGACAGTTCTAGGTATAAGAGAGCCGTAATCAACGTACCGGAAGATAGTTCGTTAATGTCGATGAGCCACCAATGTCGGCAGAATTTAAACCGCCTCTGCGGTGGCCTCAGCAGCACTAAAGACGAATTAATGCTGTTAGAATGCATTCAGAGTTTCAAGGTACAGAAACACGCTTTACTGCATCTAATGCAGAGGATTGTTTATCAACATTTTCTTGTTTTACAGCCTACAGAAGTGTCTGGCATCGACGACGACTGCCGACAAGCAATCTTGGACTACGTCTTAAACATTACAAACAACACAAACATAGAACGATTAGCTAGAAGAACGTGTGGCCAGGAGTTAGACTCGCTGCACTGTTCTTCTTCGGACGAGAAGCACGGTGCGTATCTCTCGTGCCTAATCGACAAACGGGAGGAAGTTAAAAATCCTCAATGCATCGAGTACATACAGAGATTAGAATGGATCGCGTTTAGCGATTTTAGAATCATAACTCCGTTCTCGTCGGACTGCGAGAACGATATAAAGAAGTTCAAATGCGACAAGGTACAACCGTACCGGGACATGTCCCAGGGGCAGATATTAGCTTGTTTGCAGGAGCACGTGAACGAACTACAGCTTCTTTGTAAAAGGCATATATTCCACGTGTCTGAGATCCAAGCGGAGAACATTAACTTGGACAGACAGTTGTACCTGGCCTGCGAGCAGGATCGCAGCAGGTTCTGTCCAAACGTGAGACCAGGCAGTGGTCAGGTGTACAAATGCCTGATGCAGCACAAGACCGACAGATCTATGACGACGTTCTGTCAGGAGCAGCTGACTAGGAGAGGGAAGCTGATCGCGTCTGATTACAGAGTCAGTAAAGGCCTCGTGAAAGCTTGCAAGGACGACATTAAAATGAATCACTGCAGGAGGTCTGTGGTCGAGGATAAGAACATAAGACTCGCACAAATTCTCCTTTGTTTGGAATCAGCCGCGAAGAACGGGAGTAAAATAGACGGAGACTGTCAAGCTGAGATGTTCGATCATAGAAAAATGTTGATGGAAGATTACAGATTATCACCGGAGATAGTCGACGGATGCGCGAACGACATCACGACGTTCTGTAACAGTTTAGAAATCGGCGGTGCCACGATTCATTGTTTAATGGAGCACACGAGAACGAAGAAGAAGAAATCGCGGGTGACTAATAGATGCCAAAGGGCGTTGGAGGATTTGATCATGGAAGCCGACGCTGGAGAGGATTGGAGGATCGATCCCGTTTTACGAGAGCAATGCCAGTCGGTGGTCAATCTAGCTTGTAGGGACGTACACGGGGGCGATGCTAGGGTGATATCTTGTTTAATGGAACAATTAGGTACAGGGAGAATGACGGAAGCTTGCGAGACTGCTTTGGTACAGATACAGTATTTCGTAGCCAGAGACTTTAAACTAGATCCGCAGTTGTACAGAGCGTGTAAGTTCGACGCGTCGCATCTGTGCCACGCGAGGAACGCGTGGGCCAACGATGGGAAACAGATGGACCCAGAACGAGGTCCACTAGTTTTACCGTGTCTATACAGGCACGCGTATCACCCTCAAAAGAACATGACTCTGAAGACCGACTGCTTAGAAGAGATCAGGCGCGTCATGAGGCAGCGAGCTGTAAACGTCGACTTACAGCCCGAGATAGAAGAAGTATGTCTGAACGAATTAGCTTCGCTGTGTTACGACAAAACGGCGAAAGGCGAAGAGATACTGTGTCTGCAAGACAATCTAGATCGCTTGAACAGGAATTGCAAATTGGCGGTAGGGAATTTTACAGAAGAGCAAGCGGAACGCATCGAATTAAACCCGATCATATCCGCCGCGTGCCAACACATCGTCGAGCGTCATTGTGAGGAGGTATTAAAATACGGCAAGGACGAAGGCGACATGATGGAATGCCTTATAGAACATAAAAACGATTTAGACGTGCGAGCTGATTACAAATGCAAAGCAGCTGTAGAACATTTTCAATTGATATCTTTAAAAAACTATCATTTCACTTATAAGTTTAAAGAAGCTTGCAGGCCTTCCGTTAAAAGATGGTGTCCGAAGTCGAAGACCAAAGCTGAGGTGATCGAATGTTTAAGTACAATTGTTCAAGAGGACACGATAAAAGACACGCAGCATCACGTGTCGAAGGAATGCAGGCAACAGTTAAGGGCGCAGTTGTATCAACAAAGAGAGAACATTCACTTCGATCCTATTTTACAATCTCTATGCTCGACGGATATTAAACAGTATTGTTACAAAGTAGAGCCGGGAAATTCGCAGGTTCTCGAGTGCCTGGCGGCGCACAAATCTAAACTGTCCGACATGTGCCATAAACAATTGTTCAAAGTACGGAAACAGGAGTTCCAAGACAGCTCAAGTGATTTCGCTTTGTTAAACGGTTGCCGGGGGATGGTCAAGCAGTTCTGTCACGATATCAGTCGATCGCAGGCGTTGGACTGTTTAAAAAGATACAAAGACGAGCCGTCGTTTGACGATAAATGTAAAAACATTGTAATCCGACGTATGATCGAGCAGAACACGGATTACAGATTCAATACTGCATTACAGGCAGCCTGTTCTTACGATATCAACAAACATTGCAAGGAGGTACGTATAAAAGGAGTCTTGCTTTATGCTTTATTACAGAATAATTTCGTTTCAGGTTTTATTACACGAGCCCACAGACAAGGAACTCGAAGGGAAAGTGATCAGGTGTTTGAAGATCAAATTTCGAGAAGATAAACTCATGATGAAATGCCAGAATCAAATGATTAACATACTCAAGGAGGCAGCGTTAAATTATAATTTGAATCCACTGCTAGCTACGATGTGCGCACACGAGATAGAGACTATTTGCAGGGCGGATGAAAACGACCCGGGGGCAGTGGAGGAATGCTTGAAATTGGAATTCAATAATAATAATAAAGACATGAAGGAAGGATGTCGCATGGAAATTGCTAATATAATTGAAGAAAGGAGGGCAGACATTAACGTGGATCCTTTATTGCAAAGGGCCTGCGCTATCGATGTTAATAAATATTGCAGCGACGTTCCTCAGGGCGCCGGAAGACGTGAGTTAAGAAATTACATACAAGATTTACTTGATTATTTAATTATATATAACGTTCATCTTTCTGTTTCAGATATCATGTGTCTGCAGAACGTGTTAGAGAATAATAACAAGCCTTTGAATCCTGATTGTTATAAAATGTTAACTACCAGAATCGAGATGTTCCAAAACGCGGCAGCAAAGGTAATCCTTTACGTCGTTCGTTTAACTCTTTCACTAGATATATAAAAGAGATGTAAATATACGCCATCGCAGCGT